GCAATCCTACTTCTGTAGTGATACTGCCTCGGAAACCCAAGGAGGGGTTGCTATGAGTCAGGTCCGACTTGATGGCACATAAGAACAACAACAACAATTTTGCCCTTAGTTTTCCTTGAGGAACTGTATAGTTTCAGGTTTCACAGTTAAGTCTTTGATCCATCAGGAGTTAGTTTTTGTGTTTGGTGCGAGATATGGATCTTATTTCATTTTTTTGCAAATGGATATCAGTTTCACCAGCACTGTTTGTTAAAGAGACCATCTCATATCCATATAATGGATTTTAGCCCTTTGTTGAAAATCAACTGACCATAGATCAATGGATCTATTTCTGCATTCTCAATTCTGTTCCACTGGTCTATGTGTCTGTCGTTGTACCAACACCAGGCTGTTTTGACTACTGTGGCTACACGTATAGTAGGTTTTGATATTTGGGAGTGTGTGACCTCCTACTTTGTTCTTCTTCTTCAATAGTGCTTTGCTTATCTGAGACCTCTTTCCTTTCCATATAAAATGAGTGATTGGTTTTTTCATATCCTTAAAGAATGTTGGTGGGATCTGGATTGGGATTGCATTGAATGTATAGATTGCTTTGGGTGGAATTGACATTTTCATGATGTTCAGTCTTCCTATCCACGAGCATGGAATGTTCTTCCATTTCTGTAGATCTCTTATGGTTTCTTGAAGTAGTGTTTTGTAGTTTTCTTTTTATAGGTCTTTTATGTCCCTAGTGAGATTTAGTCCCAAATATTTTTTTTGTGGTAGCTATTCTAAATGGTATTGATTTTCTTATTTCCTTTTCAGCAGTCTCTTTGCTGGTGTAGAAGAATCCAACTGATTTTTTTATGTTGATCTTGTATCCTGCCACTAAGCTAAATCTCTCAATTAGTCCAGTAGTTTTGTTTTTGTTTTTGTTTTTGTTTTTTGCTGAGTCTCTTGGGTTTTTTGTGTATAGTATCATATTATCAGCAAATAGGGATAGTTTGACTTCTTCCTTACCAATATGGATGCCTTTGATTTCCCTTTCTTGCCTTAGTGCCCTGGCTAGCACTTCAAGTACAATGTTGAATAGAAGTGAGGAGGGAACTTTTACTTAATAACTTTTCGTACTAACTGAGGCAGGTGACAAAAGCCAGTTTCTCATCAGAGTTAAGGGTTAATCAGAGGTTCTTAAACTTCAGAGGTAAGTTTACAAGAAATCATGGTACTCTTTATGAAATAACCAATTGGAGCATGATGTGTTATTGATATATTTAATTCCCTTATATGAAGTAGGAACAGGCTTATTAGCAGAAGACATTATGTTAAAACTATACAATCTAAAATCATAGGTTTTCTGACCCAGAGGTCATTAACAATAGAAAGAATAAGTTGTGTATTAGCAGTTTTTACACTTGTTAATTTCACAACTCCTTTATAGTCTTAAATATTAAATAGTATATGAGCTTCCATTACTTCAGCAATCCAGGGATTGAGTTCCAACTTACCACTTCTACTGGGAGACCTTGGGCATTTGAAAATTATTAAGAATTTTTGTCTTGTCTACAATACATTTGGAAACTTTTACTTAAAGTTACAATTTTAATTTTAGTGATAGCTGTTAAAGGCTATTTGGACTGATTTTCCATAAAGTTTATATTTCTTTCCTAACTGCTCCCCTGTGCCTTGACCATTGTCAGTGTTTTAGTATTTGAATGCAAGAATTATAGCAACATAAATTTATCCTTTAAATTTATAGAAACAGAAGAATTACCACCGATTGATCATGGCATTCCCATTACAGACCGAAGAAGTACTTTTCAGGCCCACTTAGCTCCAGTAGTTTGTCTCCAACAGGTAAAGTTTCTGTGTCCAGCTCACTTTGATGTTGTTTTACCAAGTAATTCAAGTAAATACCTTTTATTTTTAATATCCTTTATTTTTATCTTACGTTTAATTTTCACATAAGATAAAAGTTATTTGTCCATTTTTTTCTACCCTAAATTAGTGTGATTTGTAGAGAGGTTTATTTTGTTTCTGTTTGTCACTTCTTTCAAAATTGTCTCTAAACTCTGATTAGATCTTAACTCTCTAATGAATTTTCAAACAACAAAAGACGACTGTTGTTGTTGTAGCAAGTGATGATGCTTCCTATCTTGTTAAAAAGACTATTTGTCCTACAAAGAGGGAGTTCTATGAAACTAAGTCCATTCCATTGCTGCCCAGCTAAGGGGCAGTGGGTAGACTGGCTGAGCCCCATCTTGCCTGCCTGAGTTTCTTTTCCTTTCTACTTCCTGATCTTAGGTGACCTATTCCCAACCAAGGATATAAAATGTGAGAAGTATCAGTCAAAATCTGTATACCTAGGTCTCTGCTTTTCTCACTCTTTTCAGAAAATTCCTTCTTCCTTGGTGCTATAATCTAGCCCACCTTAAACTTTACTGATGTTAAGAGGCAATTTCAACAGTACCTATAAAATTAAATTAAACAAACAGACAAAAAAAAATAATAATAGAACTCTCATTTTCTTGGAACAGGTTTTAAGCATTAATCTCTGCCTTTTGGTGTCTATAGCTGCTCTGAAAGCTCTTCTAAAGCCCTGAACTTTTAGGAATACAGTTCTTTGAAAGGCTACCCTTTTACTTTCTTTTAATTTCCTGATGGGGAAGTTCTTTTCTGCATTGACTTGTGGTTGAGATAACAATTTTGGGGCAGCCTTCTGGGCTCTTTTCCCAGGAAGCCTATTTTGTCTTTAACCCTTGCTCATAATCTTGTTGCCAGGGTCTTCCTTAAACTTTCTATTCTGAATCTGTTCATCCTGGATCCTCCTTCTGTTTCTGGTCATAGCTACTTAGACTTATAGCATCATAATTTGTCAGAGCTGAAACAAATCTTAGAGGTCATTGTCTACTTCATTTTATTGATCAGGAATCTGAGGACCTGAAAGGTTAAAAAATGATGTACTCAAGATTGCACAACTTGTGATCCCAATTGGTCTCCTTGTCTCCAGGTCAGTCTTCCCTACCTCCAACATATATATTCCATACTCCTTGTCCGTTCTAACCTTTCTGAAGAGTCTGACCATGTATCACACCCCTGCCTGCCACGATTTTTGCTGACTTCTATTGTCTATAAAGGAAAATTTAAACTAAGTGAATTATAGGTGACATGACCTTAGCTTATCGTTCTTGACACATCTGTCATCTACCCCTTCATACTCTAAGTTACACTGTTGCTTACTTCCCAAACCTTTCTCTTTTATGTTCTTATTAAGATTGCCAGATAAAGTACAGGATGCCCAGTTAAATATGAATGTCAGATAACCATAATTGCATGGGATATGCTTACACTAAAAGTTATTTGTTGTTTATCTGAAGGTCAAATTTAGTTGGACATCTGTATTGTATTTTTATTTGCTAAATCTGGTGACCATAGTCCCTGTATTTGCACGTGCTGTTTCCTTTGAATGGACTGTCTTCTTCCTGCACCACCCCCTCTTCTCTTCTGAAGCCAAGGAACTACCACTTGATCTTTCAAGGCCTGCCCCCTGTTTCCTCCTCTATACACCTTACTGGATTCCCAGAGAGAGTTTTGGGTTTATAAGATTTGACACACGCCAGCGTTGTGCACATTGGATATATAAATTTGCAGAATTAATTTTTTGGAATTCTCATATTTACATTTAAAATTCTCTCTGTGGAGAACAAAATTTTCATACATGCATGCCTTAAAGATGGTTAGTGCTCAAATATTTGTTGGCACTTTATGCTCAGTCAATTTTATAGCAGTGGACAATACCAGTTTCTGTCCCTAAAATGAGGAGAATATTTTGGAAATGGATTTTCAGAGTCTTGAGGTTTTTAAAGTACTTGTTTGAATTCAGTAGTATTAAACAGTATCAATTGTATTTGTGTCAATATGATGCAAGATACTTTTTCAGCATTTATTTACAGAACAATAAAAAACATACATCAGTTTATTGATATTACTGCTTTTTTTAAGGTGAAAATGGTTCTTTCCAAATTGTATGAGAATAAGAAAATAGCTAATGCCACCCACAACATATATGCATACAGGTGAGTGATCATTACAATGATAGGGATGAACAGTTGGTTAAAAAAAAAAACTGGGAAAAATTATGCATGCTTTTTCAAAATAACTATTATATGTTTTTTTTTTCCATTATAAAATAGACATATATGTAATGTTTGGAAACTTTAAAAAATGAAAGAGAATTAGAGGGAAAATTGGCCCTTTTCTACTTTTAAAGTATAACTTTTAATAATACTTTGATATATTTCCTTCCTATCTTTTCTATGGAAAGTTTATTTTTTCAATAC